TATCTTTTCATCAGTTGATGGATGTTTGAGTTGTTTCTGCTTTTTGGCTATTACAAAGACTACTACTATGAATGTTTGTGTAAAAGTTATATGGACATATGTCTTTTATTTCTCTTGGAAATGTATACCTAGGAGTAGATTTGCTGGGTCATGTGATAATTCTATGTTTAACTTATAAAATCAATTATACACCATTGTTAAATGTTATTTCTACCTGTAGAAGATTTTCTGGTTGTACTGTTTGCAAAGTCTTAATTTTGTCATATGGCCTTTACAACTATTCTGTGTAATGCAATTCTGTTGTTTTCTTACATACGAAAGTACTGTGTGTACTGTTTGTGTAGTTCTGTGAACTTAGTTTTGATTTGGGCCTGCTTAAATCGTCATGAGAAGTTCCTAGCGACTTTGCGTTAGGAAGTGAGAAATGAGGGACTTCATCTTGTAACTTTTAATTCTAGAGATGTGGTTAATAGAAGTATAAGAACAGGGAGTGGCAGTAGTGATTTAGTCACCTCAATGAATCCCTCTTTTTATTTTTTATTTCATTTATTTTTATTAGTTGGAGGCTAATGACTTTACAAATTTTTTTGTCATACATTGACATGAATTAGCCATGGATTTACATGTATTCCCCATCCCGATCCCCCCTCCCACCTCCGTCTCGACCCGATCCCTTTGGCTCTTCCCAGTGCACCAGGTCCGAGCACTTGTCTCCTGCATCCAACCTGGGCTGGTGATCTCTTTCACCCTAGGTTATATATACATGTTTCGATGCTGTTCTCTTGAAACATCCCACCCGCGCCTTCTCCCACAGAGTCCAAAAGTCTGTTCTATACATCTGTGTGTCTTTTTCTGTTTTGCATATAGGGTTATGGTTACCATCTTGCTCAATTCCATGTATGTGTGTTAGTATCCTGTAATGGTCTTTATCTTTCTGGCTTACTTCAGTCTGTATAACGGGCTCCAGTTTCATCCATCTCTTTAGAACTGATTTAAATGAATTCTTTTTAATGGCTGAGTAAGATTCCATGGTGTATATGTACCACAGCTGCCTTATCCATTCGTCTGCTGATGGGCATCTAGGTTGCTTCCATGTCCTGCCTATTATAAACGGTGCTGCGATGAACATTGGGGTGCACGTGTCTCTTTCAGATCTGGTTTCCTCGGCGTGTATGCCCAGAAGTGGGATTGCTGGATCATACGGCAGTTCTTTTTCCAGTTTTTTAAGAAATCTCCACACTGTTTTCCATAGCAGCTGTACTAGTTTGCATTCCCACCGACAGGGTAAGAGGGTTTCCTTTTCTCCACACCCTCTCTAGCATTTATTGCTTGTAGACTTTTTCAATAGCAGCCATCCTGACTGGCGTGTAATGGTAACTCATTGTGGTTTTGATTTGCATTTCTCGGATAATGAGTGATGTTGAGCATCTTTTCATGTGTCTTTTAGCCATCTGTATGCCTTCCTTGGAGAAATGTCTGGTTAGCTCTTTGGCCCATTTTTTGATTGGGTCATTTATTTTCTGGAGTTGAGCTGGAGGAGTTGCTTGTATATTTTTGAGATTAATCCTTTGTGTGTTGCTTCGTTTGCTGTTATTTTCTCCCAATCTGCGGGCTGTCCTTTCACCTCGCTTATAGTTTCTTTGTCGTGCAAAAGCTTTTAAGTTTCATTAGGTCCCATTTGTTAATTTTCGCTTTTGTTTCTAATACTCTGGGATCCTGCTGTGATTTATGTCGGAGAGTGTTTTGCCTGTGTTCTCCTCTAGGAGTTTTATGGTTTCTGGTCTTAACGTTTAGATCTTTAATCCATTTTGAGTTTATTTCTGTGTATGGTGTTAGACAGTGTTCTCGTTTCATTCTTTTCCAGGTGGCTGACCAGTTTTCCCAGCACCGCTTGTTAAAGAGGTTGTCTTTTTTTCCACTGTATATCCTTGCCTCCTTTGTCGAAGATAAGGTGACCATAGGTTCGTGGATTTATCTCTGGGCTTTCTGTTCTGTTCCATTGATCTATATTTCTGTCTTTGTGCCAGTACCATACTGTCTTGATGACTGTGGCTTTGTGGTATAGTCTGAAGTCAGGCAGGTTGATTCCTCCAGTTCCATTCTTCTTTCTCAAGATTCCTTTGGCTATTCGAGGTGTTTTGCATTTCCATACAAATTGTGAAATTATTTGCTCTAGTTCTCTGAAAGCTGCCGTTGGTAGCTTGATAGGGATTGCATTGAATCTGTAGATTGCTTTGGGTACTATAGCCATTTTGACAATATTGAGAATCCCTGTTTTTCAACAACAGAATGAATCAAATCATTGAGTGCAGCAGCTCTGAGGTTACTGTTACAGCTCACATTAAGGCAAGATGGATCAAGGTAACTGTTGGTTTGTTTGTTTTTTTAGCCCTTGGAGAAAATCCAGTAGATGCTGTCTTAAATTTACCTAGAACTCTTGAAGGAAGAATTTTAAGGACCTCAGGAAGGTCCTGTGCTTGGCGGGTGGCGTGGCGAGGAGGGGGGCCGCGGTCGGGCGAAGGGGCAGGGCTGAGGCGCTCGGGTGGACCGCGCTGGTGGCTCCCAGTGGGTTTGGGCCCCGGGCAGGTGCCGGGCAGGATGGGCGCTCAGGGCCCCGGCTGCGCTCCGCCTATGCCCGAGGGAGGCTCAGAGGACCGAGGGCCGCGGGCCGCGGCGGGCCCGAATCAGACGCCTCCGGGGCCACGTGGCCCTGAGCCACGAACGGGAGTGGGCGGGGGGGGGCGCTGACAGGGGGCGGGCCTGGAGAGGCCCAGGGCGGGAGGGCGCCGAGACCTCCGCACCCCTCACCCCAACCCCAAGCCCAGGCATGCACGCCCGACCGGCCGCTCGGGGTCCCGGAAACACTCCGGGCCCCCGGGCCGGGCCAGGTTTGCTGGCCAGGGTTGCCAGTGTGTGGGGACTGGGAGGCTTCGGCCGGGCTGCCGGCCCTGGCCGGCGCGCCCCGTGGAAAGGTGCGGCCGGCTGGCTCGACACGGCACATCAGAGCGAAAAGCAGGCGCAGCGCAGGGTTTTTAAAGGCGCCTGGCGGCAACCGCCTCCATCTAAGATCATACCACCCTGAACGGGCCAGATGTCTTCTGATCGGGGAAACTAAGCAGGGTTAGTTAGTACTTGGATGGGAGACCCCCTAGTAGTTAGGAGCTCCAGGCTTTTGCACAAAGTAGACGACAAGCCAATGCAGAGGTGATGAAAAGTTTATCGTGAAAAATCCAATTCAACCTGAATTCAAGGATGGTTTATGGCATAAAAGCAAGTGTTTTCCATTAGGTTCCCCCCACCCCCCATTAACTTGCATAATGGTTGCCATTAGCATAATGCTTAGTTTTTATTCCTTCTTTCCTTGTCTATATCATCTTTTTGCACCATCATGTGGTGCCTTATTGGCATAATTTTCCGCCTTTTGTCTTCCCATAATGCTGCTGGAGGAGACAGATGGACTCCAGGTTAGGCATTTACATCTAGCCTGTTTACATTTCCTGAGGCAAGCGATGGTTGGGCTCCAGTTGAGCCTTTACAGTCAGTGTCCTGCTTGCCCTGTGAAATGGAAGTAACAACCGAAAGAGGGTAAATAACCAGTGTCTGTCTCTCATGAACACTTTAGTAGCCATGACAAGGGCAAAGAGGGACAAAACCCTGCTTGAGTCAAGGATGAAGAGATCTCCCCTCCCCCCACCCCCCTTGTGGGAGAAGGGAAACACTACACATGCGCAGAGAGGCTCCTTGTGGGTGAAAAGTCCCGCGAAAGTGCCAGACCATGATGAGCCTTGCTTCTCCCAGAAGCCTCCACTTGGAGATCCATCTTGGCTGAGGGGTATGTGCACACCAGGGCAGAGGCCCAGGATAGGTCAGATGTGAAGAAAGAAACCAGAAACTTGGCAGGAAGGAAGACAAAGACCCAGAAGAACTGGCCTATATAAAGGACTTCACCACCTCGTGGTTATTGTGCTCCTTGTCACCAGGGGGCGCCCATAACCTTTCTCTCCAGGTGTGTGTCTCTGCTTTGCTTCTGTGGTAACTAGACCAGCTGTTCCTCCGTGTTCTTTCCCACGTGTTGCTGTGCTGTGTCTCTGATAATAAACGTTGTACCTGCATGTAGCGATTCTGCCTCCATGATGAATGCATTTTTCACTGGTCAAAGATCCAGGGAAACTTGGCTTCTAGCCTCTAGCCCTTGCTGGTCTGGTGGCTAGGATTCCTGGTTTTCGTTCAGGCTACCCAGGTTCAGTTCCTGGGCAGCGAATTAGATCTCACTTCACGCCACCACTCACTGCTGCCTCACTGAGATCAACTCAATTTTTATCACCATTTAATCTACATCATATGAATTTTTGCAACTTTTCGAGAAAGGACTTCTTAGGAATTAACATACTGATATTTCCATAAGGGGGAAATACTTCTTCCCTAAAACTGCATTGAGAAGATTTGCACTTAAGAAAATGTGTTTTAATGTAGCGGAATTACTATTTTGTCTTTACACTCTAGCAGTTGTTAAATCCTTAACTGCCAAGAACTGTTCAGGCTTCCCTGGTGGCTCAGCTGGTGAGGAATCCACCTGCAGTGCAGGAGACCTGGGTTCGATCCCTGGGTTGCAAAGACCCCCTGGAGAAGGGAAACGGCTACCCACTCTAGTATTCTGGCCTGGAGAATTCCATGGACTGTACAGTCCATGCGTTCGCAGAGTCAGACATGACAGAGCGACTTTCACTGTTCACCAGCAACGGTTCGGCCTGAGATAAGAACTTTCAAAAATCTTTGAACACAGACGCTCTAACTTATTTTCCCTCTGGGATAAATATTTTGCATTTACTTTTAGGTCATATAGACACAATAGGCAGAGAACTCTCTTATCATGTATTTTATTTGCATGTAAATTAACATCCTAGAAACTTTAAAGTAGAAACACTAAATACAGTATTGCACAGAGTATTAATCTGTGTTAAATGCCCCATTATCTCACTGAAGTTCCTATACGCATGCAGGGACTGAAGGAGACAGGAAGATGGCAGAAGAGCAACCCGAGAGCCACTACTGTGTCTGGGCACATCAACTACAGACTGCAAGGTAAGGACAGTATTTTACAGAAATAGAAACATAGTTACAATTCAGATTTCCTTTTTAAGTTGCCTCCTTAATTGGTTTGCAGTAGCAACAGATTCTCCCCTTTTTTCATAGCCATTCCCCAACACATATCATTTTAAAAAATCTATTAATGTTAGACAAAGCCATCACAGTGCTTCAGGAGTGACTTCAAGAAAACTCCAATCAAGTCACAGTACTCAGGCAGGTGGGTTTAATAGAGAAGTCCTAGGTAGATATCAATCCATCTGAAAGTGGGCAGTAATGTTTGAACACATCTAGGATTTCCTTTTAAACACAAGCTCCAAGGAAACAGTACTGAATTGACCAGAGGAACAGTAAAAAGAGGACATCACTGGAAGGGAGTTTACACTGCCAGTCTGGCCCTGTGGTCTGGCGCTGGGGTAGCATCTGCTCGCTTGGCCCCTGTGTCCCTCAGGGAGGTCACGGGCTCAAGAGTGCAGAACAAGTATCATCACTAGGACTGCCCAGAGCTGCTGCGAACATCCAAAAAGTTTCACTTTAAGAGTTCTTTAGAGGGCTTCCCTGGCGATCCAGTGGCTGCTCCCAATGCAGGGGCCTGGGTTCAATCTCTGGCCAGTGAACTAGATCCCATTCACTGCAAGGAAGAGTGTGCACGCCACAATGAAAGATCCCATGTGTGGCAACCAAGACCTGGTGCAGCTTACAAAAGAGAAAAAAGGCACAAAATGTTCTTTAGAAAGTGCTATAAAATGCTATGAATGATTGCTTCTGCTAAGCAAATGGTAAGAAAATATGTGTATTAGTTGCTCAGCTGTGTCCGACTCTTTGTGACTCCATGGACTGTGGCCTTCCCAGTTCCTCTGTCCGTGGAATTCTCTAGGCAAGAATACTGGAAGAGGTGGCCATTCCCTTCTCCAGGCGATCTTCTCAACCCAGGCATGAAACCCAGGTCTCCTGCATTGCAGACAGATTCTTTACCACCTGAGCCACCAGGGAAGCCCAGGAAATACGTCGACCGGAATCCTCTTAATCAAGACAGGGGCCATTAGAGAGAAAATAACCTACTCGGTTAATTTAGTTTTATTATTGCCATTCTCCTTGGGAATTAAAAAGAGGGTACTTCTGGAGAAACTGACAAAGCTGTGATTTATCTTAATAAAAGACTTCTTATGGAGATCTTGAAACCTGTTTCCTGAAAGAAATGAGTTCTAAATATATTTCTTAAGCCTGGTGGCAAAGTTTCTAATGACAGAATTCATCTCCCATGCAGCTCAATGAATCCCTGGTTTTTTTTTTTTTTTCATTTATTTTTATTAGTTGGAGGCTAATGACTTTACAAATTTTTTTGTCATACATTGACATGAATTAGCCATGGATTTACATGTATTCCCCATCCCGATCCCCCCTCCCACCTCCGTCTCGACCCGATCCCTTTGGCTCTTCCCAGTGCACCAGGTCCGAGCACTTGTCTCCTGCATCCAACCTGGGCTGGTGATCTCTTTCACCCTAGGTTATATATACGTGTTTCGATGCTGTTCTCTTGAAACATCCCACCCGTGCCTTCTCCCACAGAGTCCAAAAGTCTGTTCTATACATCTGTGTGTCTTTTTCTGTTTTGCATATAGGGTTATGGTTACCATCTTGCTCAATTCCATGTATATGTGTTAGTATCCTGTAATGGTCTTTATCTTTCTGGCTTACTTCAGTCTGTATAACGGGCTCCAGTTTCATCCATCTCTTTAGAACTGATTCAAATGAATTCTTTTTAATGGCTGAGTAAGATTCCATGGTGTATATGTACCACAGCTGCCTTATCCATTCGTCTGCTGACGGGCATCTAGGTTACTTCCATGTCCTGCCTATTATAAACGGTGCTGCGATGAACATTGGGGTGCACGTGTCTCTTTCAGATCTGGTTTCCTCGGCGTGTATGCCCAGAAGTGGGATTGCTGGATCATAGGGCAGTTCTGTTTCCAGTTTTTTAAGAAATCTCCACACTGTTTTCCATAGCGGCTGTACTAGTTTGCATTCCCACCGACAGGGTAAGAGGGTTCCCTTTTCTCCACACCCTCTCCAGCATTTATTGCTTGTAGACTTTTTGGATAGCAGCCATCCTGCCTGGCGTGTAATGGTACCTCATTGTGGTTTTGATTTGCATTTCTCGGATAATGAGTGATGTTGAGCATCTTTTCATGTGTCTTTTAGCCATCTGTATGCCTTCCTTGGAGAAATGTCTGGTTAGCTCTTTGGCCCATTTTTTGATTGGGTCATTTATTTTCTGGAGTTGAGCTGGAGGAGTTGCTTGTATATTTTTGAGATTAATCCTTTGTGTGTTGCTTCGTTTGCTGTTATTTTCTCCCAATCTGAGGGCTGTCCTTTCACCTCGCTTATAGTTTCTTTGTCGTGCAAAAGCTTTTAAGTTTCATTAGGTCCCATTTGTTAATTTTCGCTTTTGTTTCTAATACTCTGGGATCCTGCTGTGATTTATGTCGGAGAGTGTTTTGCCTGTGTTCTCCTCTAGGAGTTTTATGGTTTCTGGTCTTAACGTTTAGATCTTTAATCCATTTTGAGTTTATTTCTGTGTATGGTGTTAGACAGTGTTCTCGTTTCATTCTTTTCCAGGTGGCTGACCAGTTTTCCCAGCACCGCTTGTTAAAGAGGTTGTCTTTTTTTCCACTGTATATCCTTGCCTCCTTTGTCGAAGATAAGGTGACCATAGGTTCGTGGATTTATCTCTGGGCTTTCTGTTCTGTTCCATTGATCTATATTTCTGTCTTTGTGCCAGTACCATACTGTCTTGATGACTGTGGCTTTGTGGTATAGTCTGAAGTCAGGCAGGTTGATTCCTCCAGTTCCATTCTTCTTTCTCAAGATTCCTTTGGCTATTCGAGGTGTTTTGCATTTCCATACAAATTGTGAAATTATTTGCTCTAGTTCTCTGAAAGCTGCCGTTGGTAGCTTGATAGGGATTGCATTGAATCTGTAGATTGCTTTGGGTACTATAGCCATTTTGACAATATTGAGAATCCCTGTTTTTCAACAACAGAATGAATCAAATCATTGAGTGCAGCAGCTCTGAGGTTACTGTTACAGCTCACATTAAGGCAAGATGGATCAAGGTAACTGTTGGTTTGTTTGTTTTTTTAGCCCTTGGAGAAAATCCAGTAGATGCTGTCTTAAATTTACCTAGAACTCTTGAAGGAAGAATTTTAAGGACCTCAGGAAGGTCCTGTGCTTGGCGGGTGGCGTGGCGAGGAGGGGGGCCGCGGTCGGGCGAAGGGGCAGGGCTGAGGCGCTCGGGTGGACCGCGCTGGTGGCTCCCAGTGGGTTTGGGCCCCGGGCAGGTGCCGGGCAGGATGGGCGCTCAGGGCCCCGGCTGCGCTCCGCCTATGCCCGAGGGAGGCTCAGAGGACCGAGGGCCGCGGTCCGCGGCGGGCCCGAATCAGACGCCTCCGGGGCCACGTGGCCCTGAGCCACGAACGGGAGTGGGCGGGGGGGGGGCGCTGACAGGGGGCGGGCCTGGAGAGGCCCAGGGCGGGAGGGCGCCGAGACCTCCGCACCCCTCACCCCAACCCCAAGCCCAGGCATGCACGCCCGACCGGCCGCTCGGGGTCCCGGAAACACTCCGGGCCCCCGGGCCGGGCCAGGTTTGCTGGCCAGGGTTGCCAGTGTGTGGGGACTGGGAGGCTTCGGCCGGGCTGCCGGCCCTGGCCGGCGCGCCCCGTGGAAAGGTGCGGCCGGCTGGCTCGACACGGCACATCAGAGCGAAAAGCAGGCGCAGCGCAGGGTTTTTAAAGGCGCCTGGCGGCAACCGCCTCCATCTAAGATCATACCACCCTGAACGGGCCAGATGTCTTCTGATCGGGGAAACTAAGCAGGGTTAGTTAGTACTTGGATGGGAGACCCCCTAGTAGTTAGGAGCTCCAGGCTTTTGCACAAAGTAGACGACAAGCCAATGCAGAGGTGATGAAAAGTTTATCGTGAAAAATCCAATTCAACCTGAATTCAAGGATGGTTTATGGCATAAAAGCAAGTGTTTTCCATTAGGTTCCCCCCCACCCCCCCCATTAACTTGCATAATGGTTGCCATTAGCATAATGCTTAGTTTTTATTCCTTCTTTCCTTGTCTATATCCATCTTTTTGCACCATCATGTGGTGCCTTATTGGCATAATTTTCCGCCTTTTGTCTTCCCATAATGCTGCTGGAGGAGACAGATGGACTCCAGGTTAGGCATTTACATCTAGCCTGTTTACATTTCCTGAGGCAAGCGATGGTTGGGCTCCAGTTGAGCCTTTACAGTCAGTGTCCTGCTTGCCCTGTGAAATGGAAGTAACAACCGAAAGAGGGTAAATAACCAGTGTCTGTCTCTCATGAACACTTTAGTAGCCATGACAAGGGCAAAGAGGGACAAAACCCTGCTTGAGTCAAGGATGAAGAGATCTCCCCTCCCCCCACCCCCCTTGTGGGAGAAGGGAAACACTACACATGCGCAGAGAGGCTCCTTGTGGGTGAAAAGTCCCGCGAAAGTGCCAGACCATGATGAGCCTTGCTTCTCCCAGAAGCCTCCACTTGGAGATCCATCTTGGCTGAGGGGTATGTGCACACCAGGGCAGAGGCCCAGGATAGGTCAGATGTGAAGAAAGAAACCAGAAACTTGGCAGGAAGGAAGACAAAGACCCAGAAGAACTGGCCTATATAAAGGACTTCACCACCTCGTGGTTATTGTGCTCCTTGTCACCAGGGGGCGCCCATAACCTTTCTCTCCAGGTGTGTGTCTCTGCTTTGCTTCTGTGGTAACTAGACCAGCTGTTCCTCCGTGTTCTTTCCCACGTGTTGCTGTGCTGTGTCTCTGATAATAAACGTTGTACCTGCATGTAGCGATTCTGCCTCCATGATGAATGCATTTTTCACTGGTCAAAGATCCAGGGAAACTTGGCTTCTAGCCTCTAGCCCTTGCTGGTCTGGTGGCTAGGATTCCTGGTTTTCGTTCAGGCTACCCAGGTTCAGTTCCTGGGCAGCGAATTAGATCTCACTTCACGCCACCACTCACTGCTGCCTCACTGAGATCAACTCAATTTTTATCACCATTTAATCTACATCATATGAATTTTTGCAACTTTTCGAGAAAGGACTTCTTAGGAATTAACATACTGATATTTCCATAAGGGGGAAATACTTCTTCCCTAAAACTGCATTGAGAAGATTTGCACTTAAGAAAATGTGTTTTAATGTAGCGGAATTACTATTTTGTCTTTACACTCTAGCAGTTGTTAAATCCTTAACTGCCAAGAACTGTTCAGGCTTCCCTGGTGGCTCAGCTGGTGAGGAATCCACCTGCAGTGCAGGAGACCTGGGTTCGATCCCTGGGTTGCAAAGACCCCCTGGAGAAGGGAAACGGCTACCCACTCTAGTATTCTGGCCTGGAGAATTCCATGGACTGTACAGTCCATGCGTTCGCAGAGTCAGACATGACAGAGCGACTTTCACTGTTCACCAGCAACGGTTCGGCCTGAGATAAGAACTTTCAAAAATCTTTGAACACAGACGCTCTAACTTATTTTCCCTCTGGGATAAATATTTTGCATTTACTTTTAGGTCATATAGACACAATAGGCAGAGAACTCTCTTATCATGTATTTTATTTGCATGTAAATTAACATCCTAGAAACTTTAAAGTAGAAACACTAAATACAGTATTGCACAGAGTATTAATCTGTGTTAAATGCCCCATTATCTCACTGAAGTTCCTATACGCATGCAGGGACTGAAGGAGACAGGAAGATGGCAGAAGAGCAACCCGAGAGCCACTACTGTGTCTGGGCACATCAACTACAGACTGCAAGGTAAGGACAGTATTTTACAGAAATAGAAACATAGTTACAATTCAGATTTCCTTTTTAAGTTGCCTCCTTAATTGGTTTGCAGTAGCAACAGATTCTCCCCTTTTTTCATAGCCATTCCCCAACACATATCATTTTAAAAAATCTATTAATGTTAGACAAAGCCATCACAGTGCTTCAGGAGTGACTTCAAGAAAACTCCAATCAAGTCACAGTACTCAGGCAGGTGGGTTTAATAGAGAAGTCCTAGGTAGATATCAATCCATCTGAAAGTGGGCAGTAATGTTTGAACACATCTAGGATTTCCTTTTAAACACAAGCTCCAAGGAAACAGTACTGAATTGACCAGAGGAACAGTAAAAAGAGGACATCACTGGAAGGGAGTTTACACTGCCAGTCTGGCCCTGTGGTCTGGCGCTGGGGTAGCATCTGCTCGCTTGGCCCCTGTGTCCCTCAGGGAGGTCACGGGCTCAAGAGTGCAGAACAAGTATCATCACTAGGACTGCCCAGAGCTGCTGCGAACATCCAAAAAGTTTCACTTTAAGAGTTCTTTAGAGGGCTTCCCTGGCGATCCAGTGGCTGCTCCCAATGCAGGGGCCTGGGTTCAATCTCTGGCCAGTGAACTAGATCCCATTCACTGCAAGGAAGAGTGTGCACGCCACAATGAAAGATCCCATGTGTGGCAACCAAGACCTGGTGCAGCTTACAAAAGAGAAAAAAGGCACAAAATGTTCTTTAGAAAGTGCTATAAAATGCTATGAATGATTGCTTCTGCTAAGCAAATGGTAAGAAAATATGTGTATTAGTTGCTCAGCTGTGTCCGACTCTTTGTGACTCCATGGACTGTGGCCTTCCCAGTTCCTCTGTCCGTGGAATTCTCTAGGCAAGAATACTGGAAGAGGTGGCCATTCCCTTCTCCAGGCGATCTTCTCAACCCAGGCATGAAACCCAGGTCTCCTGCATTGCAGACAGATTCTTTACCACCTGAGCCACCAGGGAAGCCCAGGAAATACGTCGACCGGAATCCTCTTAATCAAGACAGGGGCCATTAGAGAGAAAATAACCTACTCGGTTAATTTAGTTTTATTATTGCCATTCTCCTTGGGAATTAAAAAGAGGGTACTTCTGGAGAAACTGACAAAGCTGTGATTTATCTTAATAAAAGACTTCTTATGGAGATCTTGAAACCTGTTTCCTGAAAGAAATGAGTTCTAAATATATTTCTTAAGCCTGGTGGCAAAGTTTCTAATGACAGAATTCATCTCCCATGCAGCTCAATGAATCCCTGGTTTTTTTTTTTTTTTTTCATTTATTTTTATTAGTTGGAGGCTAATGACTTTACAAATTTTTTTGTCATACATTGACATGAATTAGCCATGGATTTACATGTATTCCCCATCCCGATCCCCCCTCCCACCTCCGTCTCGACCCGATCCCTTTGGCTCTTCCCAGTGCACCAGGTCCGAGCACTTGTCTCCTGCATCCAACCTGGGCTGGTGATCTCTTTCACCCTAGGTTATATATACGTGTTTCGATGCTGTTCTCTTGAAACATCCCACCCGCGCCTTCTCCCACAGAGTCCAAAAGTCTGTTCTATACATCTGTGTGTCTTTTTCTGTTTTGCATATAGGGTTATGGTTACCATCTTGCTCAATTCCATGTATATGTGTTAGTATCCTGTAATGGTCTTTATCTTTCTGGCTTACTTCAGTCTGTATAACGGGCTCCAGTTTCATCCATCTCTTTAGAACTGATTCAAATGAATTCTTTTTAATGGCTGAGTAAGATTCCATGGTGTATATGTACCACAGCTGCCTTATCCATTCGTCTGCTGACGGGCATCTAGGTTACTTCCATGTCCTGCCTATTATAAACGGTGCTGCGATGAACATTGGGGTGCACGTGTCTCTTTCAGATCTGGTTTCCTCGGCGTGTATGCCCAGAAGTGGGATTGCTGGATCATAGGGCAGTTCTGTTTCCAGTTTTTTAAGAAATCTCCACACTGTTTTCCATAGCGGCTGTACTAGTTTGCATTCCCACCGACAGGGTAAGAGGGTTCCCTTTTCTCCACACCCTCTCCAGCATTTATTGCTTGTAGACTTTTTGGATAGCAGCCATCCTGCCTGGCGTGTAATGGTACCTCATTGTGGTTTTGATTTGCATTTCTCGGATAATGAGTGATGTTGAGCATCTTTTCATGTGTCTTTTAGCCATCTGTATGCCTTCCTTGGAGAAATGTCTGGTTAGCTCTTTGGCCCATTTTTTGATTGGGTCATTTATTTTCTGGAGTTGAGCTGGAGGAGTTGCTTGTATATTTTTGAGATTAATCCTTTGTGTGTTGCTTCGTTTGCTGTTATTTTCTCCCAATCTGAGGGCTGTCCTTTCACCTCGCTTATAGTTTCTTTGTCGTGCAAAAGCTTTTAAGTTTCATTAGGTCCCATTTGTTAATTTTCGCTTTTGTTTCTAATACTCTGGGATCCTGCTGTGATTTATGTCGGAGAGTGTTTTGCCTGTGTTCTCCTCTAGGAGTTTTATGGTTTCTGGTCTTAACGTTTAGATCTTTAATCCATTTTGAGTTTATTTCTGTGTATGGTGTTAGACAGTGTTCTCGTTTCATTCTTTTCCAGGTGGCTGACCAGTTTTCCCAGCACCGCTTGTTAAAGAGGTTGTCTTTTTTTCCACTGTATATCCTTGCCTCCTTTGTCGAAGATAAGGTGACCATAGGTTCGTGGATTTATCTCTGGGCTTTCTGTTCTGTTCCATTGATCTATATTTCTGTCTTTGTGCCAGTACCATACTGTCTTGATGACTGTGGCTTTGTGGTATAGTCTGAAGTCAGGCAGGTTGATTCCTCCAGTTCCATTCTTCTTTCTCAAGATTCCTTTGGCTATTCGAGGTGTTTTGCATTTCCATACAAATTGTGAAATTATTTGCTCTAGTTCTCTGAAAGCTGCCGTTGGTAGCTTGATAGGGATTGCATTGAATCTGTAGATTGCTTTGGGTACTATAGCCATTTTGACAATATTGAGAATCCCTGTTTTTCAACAACAGAATGAATCAAATCATTGAGTGCAGCAGCTCTGAGGTTACTGTTACAGCTCACATTAAGGCAAGATGGATCAAGGTAACTGTTGGTTTGTTTGTTTTTTTAGCCCTTGGAGAAAATCCAGTAGATGCTGTCTTAAATTTACCTAGAACTCTTGAAGGAAGAATTTTAAGGACCTCAGGAAGGTCCTGTGCTTGGCGGGTGGCGTGGCGAGGAGGGGGGCCGCGGTCGGGCGAAGGGGCAGGGCTGAGGCGCTCGGGTGGACCGCGCTGGTGGCTCCCAGTGGGTTTGGGCCCCGGGCAGGTGCCGGGCAGGATGGGCGCTCAGGGCCCCGGCTGCGCTCCGCCTATGCCCGAGGGAGGCTCAGAGGACCGAGGGCCGCGGGCCGCGGCGGGCCCGAATCAGACGCCTCCGGGGCCACGTGGCCCTGAGCCACGAACGGGAGTGGGCGGGGGGGGGCGCTGACAGGGGGCGGGCCTGGAGAGGCCCAGGGCGGGAGGGCGCCGAGACCTCCGCACCCCTCACCCCAACCCCAAGCCCAGGCATGCACGCCCGACCGGCCGCTCGGGGTCCCGGAAACACTCCGGGCCCCCGGGCCGGGCCAGGTTTGCTGGCCAGGGTTGCCAGTGTGTGGGGACTGGGAGGCTTCGGCCGGGCTGCCGGCCCTGGCCGGCGCGCCCCGTGGAAAGGTGCGGCCGGCTGGCTCGACACGGCACATCAGAGCGAAAAGCAGGCGCAGCGCAGGGTTTTTAAAGGCGCCTGGCGGCAACCGCCTCCATCTAAGATCATACCACCCTGAACGGGCCAGATGTCTTCTGATCGGGGAAACTAAGCAGGGTTAGTTAGTACTTGGATGGGAGACCCCCTAGTAGTTAGGAGCTCCAGGCTTTTGCACAAAGTAGACGACAAGCCAATGCAGAGGTGATGAAAAGTTTATCGTGAAAAATCCAATTCAACCTGAATTCAAGGATGGTTTATGGCATAAAAGCAAGTGTTTTCCATTAGGTTCCCCCCCACCCCCCCCCATTAACTTGCATAATGGTTGCCATTAGCATAATGCTTAGTTTTTATTCCTTCTTTCCTTGTCTATATCCATCTTTTTGCACCATCATGTGGTGCCTTATTGGCATAATTTTCCGCCTTTTGTCTTCCCATAATGCTGCTGGAGGAGACAGATGGACTCCAGGTTAGGCATTTACATCTAGCCTGTTTACATTTCCTGAGGCAAGCGATGGTTGGGCTCCAGTTGAGCCTTTACAGTCAGTGTCCTGCTTGCCCTGTGAAATGGAAGTAACAACCGAAAGAGGGTAAATAACCAGTGTCTGTCTCTCATGAACACTTTAGTAGCCATGACAAGGGCAAAGAGGGACAAAACCCTGCTTGAGTCAAGGATGAAGAGATCTCCCCTCCCCCCACCCCCCTTGTGGGAGAAGGGAAACACTACACATGCGCAGAGAGGCTCCTTGTGGGTGAAAAGTCCCGCGAAAGTGCCAGACCATGATGAGCCTTGCTTCTCCCAGAAGCCTCCACTTGGAGATCCATCTTGGCTGAGGGGTATGTGCACACCAGGGCAGAGGCCCAGGATAGGTCAGATGTGAAGAAAGAAACCAGAAACTTGGCAGGAAGGAAGACAAAGACCCAGAAGAACTGGCCTATATAAAGGACTTCACCACCTCGTGGTTATTGTGCTCCTTGTCACCAGGGGGCGCCCATAACCTTTCTCTCCAGGTGTGTGTCTCTGCTTTGCTTCTGTGGTAACTAGACCAGCTGTTCCTCCGTGTTCTTTCCCACGTGTTGCTGTGCTGTGTCTCTGATAATAAACGTTGTACCTGCATGTAGCGATTCTGCCTCCATGATGAATGCATTTTTCACTGGTCAAAGATCCAGGGAAACTTGGCTTCTAGCCTCTAGCCCTTGCTGGTCTGGTGGCTAGGATTCCTGGTTTTCGTTCAGGCTA